GGATTGGAATTGGAAGGGAAAGCAGTGACAATGTCCGAAAATAGTGAAAGGTGTCTTGACAAAGTTATTAAGGGAATTAAGAGCATTCTTAATCCGCTCGGATCCTACTGTGAACAATGGAATAGGTTATTTCTACTATCAACTGTAATTGCGCTCTCACTTGATCCTGTGTTTTTCTACATCATTGTGGTCAATGAAGATAACAAGTGCCTTCTTTTGGACACCAAATTGGGGATTACAGCAATTGTTCTGCGTTCGGTTATTGATTGCTTTTATATTATATGCATTGCTTGTCGACTTCAGACTGATCTTTTTGCTCCTCTTTTACATATAAGAGATAATAGGGGCAGAAATTGCTGGAAAATAGTGAGGAGATATTTGTTGTCATGGTTCTTTCCCATTGACATACTTGCAGTTCTTCCCCTTCCCCAGGTTAGTGGTTAGTGATATTTGTTGCAACAAGCTTTCCTTGCATGATGATTGACTTTATTTGTTGATTGTTGTTAGTTAAAATTTTCCCTACACATATAATTAGGTTCAGTGGTGTGACCTTCCATGCTGTTTAAATTTATTGTTTCTTGTGAACTTGTATTCATGTTAATTAGGTCCTTTGAACTGTAGCCTATAGCTGATTGGTTTTTGGACCCAAAAAATGGGGTTGAATGTTTTAACATGGTCTAATAGTCAGTTGTTTGTTACTCTGCTGATAGTCTATCATCCTGTTTTTGTTGTTTACATCATGGGCTTGTTTGTTTCAGCTGTCTTGTTAGTGATGGTAGTGCCAATGTCCCTTGTCAGTTAAACTTAGTCGGATGCTTTAGAACTTAATCACTGGTGCATACCTTAAAGTTTAACTATTCAGGTGGTGATTTTACTTATTATTCCAACAATGAAACGCTTGAGATTTTTGGATGCCATGGATGTGTTGAAATTTGTTGTTATCTTCCAATATGTGCCGAGGGTTCTTCGGATTTATCCTTTGTTTAAGAGGGACAAAAGAACTTCTGGCATCCTTGCTGAAGCTGCATGGGCGAATGCTGCATTCAATCTCTTTCTTTACATGCTTGCAAGTCATGTAAGTTGACTTGCACTCATTTTTCTAGCCATATGGAATTTTTACATGTGACCACCTTTTATATTATATCATTTGGCAATGATTTATCTGTTTCAGTTACTAGTAACCAATTACTCATCAATGGTTGATAACTGCAAGTCCAAGAATGCACATGACCTACTTCCTAGAAGTTTCTTCTTCCTAGACATTGCATTAATCTAAGGAGTTCAGTCCAATGCTTCAACAGCTTTTAATTTTTAAAAGCGTATTTGGCAAATAAAGCTTAAAGCCCCTTTATTTGTATATCCTGAGAGATTCTTAATGGCTTTTAATCATTGCAATCATCAAGTAACTTGCAATCTTTTAGGTGCTTGGAGCTGTATGGTACTTCCTTGCGATAGAACGAGAAGCTACATGTTGGCGTAAAGCTTGTGGAAATCAGTCTGGATGTGCCAATGAATCCTTTTACTGTGATTTCAGTCTTGGAAATCACACATTATTTCTAAATCATGTATGCCTATAAGTTCACCGTCACCCAACACAGAGCCCTTTGATTTTGGAATATATCTTTATGCTCTACAGTCTGGGATAGTGAAGGTGACAAATTTCTGGCAGAAATTTTTTCATTGTTTTCGTTGGGG